GATCTTATATAACTGAAAAATTTAGATATATAGTTTATATTAAGATAATACTTATAAATTTTGCAGACATTTTAGTTTGTGTTTATAGTTTAGAAGATCCCTAAAGAATTAAAATAGTATTTATTATGGATTTTTTGATAATGGGATTCTATTCTTGTAACAAGGTAGAAATATTCTGAAATAAACTAGTTCATTTTGACAAGATTTATACTTCTGAATAGTAGATGAAACATTGAATTTTTTATTGTTTATATTTTTAAAGGGAAAAAATTATTTTTATGAAATATCAGTTCAAAGAAGGGCTCAAATTTTATTCATAGCAAACATAATTATAGAGTAATTAATTATTTAAATTATCAAGCTATTTCTTGATGATTTAAATATTTTCTATACCTTTATTTCAAGCTTACTGATATTTAAATTACAGGTGTCTTGATTGAGACTGATACATTTTGAAAGGTTATAAGTAAATTAGGTAAGAACTACAATAAAAGTATGGTGTGAAATTTGAAGACAAACTCCAAGTCTTATTGCAAAGATCAGAACAGTTCTACCTTTATTTCTTTTTTACACAAAATTATGAAATCTCTACATGTGCTCCCTCCTGTTGCATGGAGAATGTGTAAATGATATTCAATTTCTTACCATGTATTATGCAACATCTATGGCATAACAGAAGCAACAGTGTCCTCTATTCATACACAAAGTTCTTTGATGTCATTGATTTTGATATCCACATAAATTCTGCTCTTTAAATTTTCCCAGAGGACAAAGTATAGAGATGTAATGTTGGGATCACTGGAACCATAGAATGAGGCTGCCACACTTGATCCAACAATCAAGAAGCTCTGTGTCAGTTAATCCCTCATATGACAACTCCAATATGGAGGAGCATCATTTAACTGGAAGATAACAGTTTGTGCTTATTTTTGAGCTGATGCCATTTTGACAGTCATGCTGCAATGCCATAACTGTCAAAATGTCAAATTATTCTGCATGCTTCAATTAATTCTGTGGAAAACTTGCACAGTTACTCTTTCTCCTGATTTGCATTAAGTGCATTTATCTTTATGCACTGAATTTTGACAGCTATTTAAAATGTGCAAGTCTCATTCCAGACTCTCTATATTGATTATATTTTGATTATAATTTATTGCTAGTTCTTGAATCTATTATGTCACTCTTATAAAAACTAAAAATCAAAAATAGTTATATTTTGATTCTTTTTGGAACAGATGAAATTATATAAAATATATTTATTATGTTTAATATAATTTTACAATCTTTTCGTTATGGAAAAGATAATTTAACTTTTTGTATGATTTAAGATAAAATAAATTTTTGGCTATATATATATATATATATATAGCCTAAAATTTATAGCCCCTATTATATATTTATATAATAGGCTAACCGAAAGATTGTAAAATTATATTAAAGTCATAATTTATGTATATATATATTATAGATAAATTATGGTTTTGATGCAATTGCTTAATGGAATTGATATGAAAAATGAAAGTGATTTGCTCTTGACAAGACAAAAAAATTATTGACTTTGTTAATTTTGAATACTTTAGTGATCAAATGATGATGGTATTCATTATCAAGTTATAACCTGACTAATTAAATGTATAGATGTTATGTAATTTGAAATAAAGGTAGATGATTAAGTCACCATGCATCTAATTTAATGATTACAATTATATTAATTGATTGATTAATATATAAATTTATCTTAGTTTACTGTATTATCAGACACTTACATATTTTCTTCTGTGGTACTTGTATAACACTGCTATGAAATAATTATTATTTTCATAACAGAAACATAGCGTGTACTTTATATCTAGAAGTAGCATTTTATATAATACTGAGAATCTTTTATTTATATTTATTACTTTAGTTAGTGACATTATTTGTTTTTTGGAATTATCATTATAATTTATATGATTTTATTTCTTTATTAGTAATAAGTTTTCTTGAAGATAAGTATTGTACTCAGAAATATTTGTGAACTTGACTGTATGAAAAATATTACAATCATATAATTGTGATAATTGATGAGATAGCATTCATGAAAATATTTAACAGTAAACTCTAAAATTGTTTTTAAATAATGTAATTATTTAAAATTTAATTTAAATTTATTTAATATGTTCCTATATCTTCAGACTGTTTTTGTTAGAATATAAATATAATGCAAAACCTGAAAAAATATACAAATTTCAAGAAGTATTTAAATATTAAATAAATGAATTATTTAATAGTTAAATAGTTTAAATTAATTTATTTAAACTCTAATGTGTTGCATATTATTTGGAATATGAAGGTGGAGAAAAAAAGCAGATGAACTAATGCAGGGTTTGGCAGGAGTGGCTCTTTGCATAGACGTTTGCGGCTCTTTGGACATAAACTCCCATTTCACCTCATCTGAAGCAGCCTTATAACTTATGAGTTTATGAGATAGAGCCACCGAACAATCGTGTATTCAATTAAAAATTCAATTGAAAATTTACAATCATGTATTCAATTAAAAATAAGTAGCTATTTGCCAGATATAGTAAAGCTATCAAAAGTGATACATGGGCACCATTCGAATTAAATTTTTAAATAAAACATCTTGAACTTTTTTCCCTAAAAATCCATATCCTATACATATGTACATTACATATATGAAGCTCTCTGGTACTTTTGTTATCCTGTTTCCATGACAATTTGGTTCTTCTCACTTGACAAACTGCCGACCCCTGAACTAATGCATGAGATAAACATAAAAATATAGAATTAAATTTAAAATACTCAAAAAAGGAAAAATTACTTTGAGAAATGAATTGAAATGTTTGAAAGTACTAAACAAATAAATTTTTAAATGACAAGCTCTAAAATGGAGTTAAGTGAAAATTTTAGAACAAAAATAAACATTGAAATTTCAAAGGCATTATTATTTCAAAATGTTTGAGTTTGCTTATGTGGAAATGGAATGATGTAATTGGAAAATTGAAAACCCCCCGTTTATAACTTTTGAAAAATAGAATAAAAAGACAAACTGTGATTAATGAAAACTCTTAAGTGAAATGAATATCGTAATGTCAATATTTCAGCTTTCATTAATAGTACTATTTTTTTCTCATTATTACTGTGAAGTAATTTATTTGAATATACCAATATGACTTAAATTTTTTCGTTGCTGATTAGCAAATCATGACTAGATAGTTTTTGGAATTAACAATGTTCAAAATTTCTGTCATAGTCTTTTTAATCTATAGAACTGGTAATTGTTGTTGAAAAAATTTTAACCATCACAGAATGATGCTGAAATGTGTAATGAGTCACAACAAATTTCTCAATACAGTAGAGCATCGATTATCCGACTTAATTGGGGACTTGGATTGGTCGGATAACCGAAAAAAATGAAAAAAATACATTATTAGTATAGTATATTAGTATATCCCATGTAATTAGTATATTAGTATATCGCTATTAACCTACTTCGCGTTGAATTTTCATCGATATTAAGCATAACAAAATTTTTTTTAAAATAATAATCGTCGCTATTGCATCGTTAAAAATTATTTTTAAATTATTTTATTGCTCACAAAACAAACAACCACTCATAATTAGAAAATTAAGTCTCGTTTAAATACTGGCCACCCTTCAATGGTCGAGCCATGTTGCCAGCTAAAACATGCAAAAATTTAACAAAAATAGTATTAAAGTAGCCAAGACATAGCCAAATATTGTAGTGCCACATCACTAGTGGACATTTGAAATTTGCCAACTAGAACGGTTGGTTAACTGATGTGACGGTTAATTGGGGGTCGGATAATCGATGCTCTACTGTACTGTGCTTTATTTCTGATAAAGAAAGAGTTTCTCAAAACAAAATATTTTAAAATAGATAGATTCTTTTATACTATTCTGTACTTTTCTGTTTTAGTAAAATTGGTTGAAGATACAGAAATTATTCTTTGGAATTTGTTTTATAAATATTATTTCTTTATGTTAACAAGACTGAGCTCATATATTTTATTCCATTATTATAAATATTTTGAGTTTTACTCTTAAAGCTTTTAATGTTAATACTACTTTTGAAAGGAAATCAAAAACTTTTTTAAATTCTATCTTTACAAAATAAATTTGGTAAACTCTTGTTAATTGAATTTTTAGACACCTGGGAAAAAATTTCAATTAGCCAATGTTTAAATAATCAGAAATATAAAATAAAATAATAATAAAATATAAGAAGCAAAAGGGCTTTTTGTAAGAATAACATTTCCTGTTAATTGAATCATAAAAATTAAACTTAAAAACATTGTAAAGTTTGAAATTGATATCTATTTTACAAAATTTATTAAAACAGAATGAAAGCATTTTAAAATGATATTACAGCTTTGAAACAATGACATTTATTATTCTGAAAGATTCCATTACAAGTTAGAGGAAGATATACAATCAGATGTGACAGATCATTTGGTTAAATCATTTTTTTCATATATATGTAAAACATGATTTGCGATGCACAATGCAATTTATTTTTGTTTAAATTATCTATAAAGGTCTTTAAATTTTGCAGTATAATTGCAATGTTAATGTCTGTGGGGAATATAGGTACAATCTACTTAATTTTAATTAACTGAAAATCAAAATAGATCAATTTCCAACTGACAAAAGTTTATTGTCATTAAGAATAAAAAAATTGATATATTATATTATGTAATTTTATGATAAAAATGTGATATGATGATTATTTTACAAAGATACTCAAATTATAATTATTTATTTAGTGTTTCAATATTGAATTCTGTTAAAACTAATTTTTTATTTTATGTTTTATATTTTAAATAGATTTTATTTCAGAATTTTCATTTATTTTATTTTACATTTTATTGTGCTTAAAAGCAGCTATATTTGGTTTTAAAATTGTATGAAATTCATTTTATTACAATTTGTATATGTTATGTTTTATGTAATAATACAAAAATTATATTTTTATATAGGATTCCGATGCCAGTGACAGTCAGAGAGAAGCCCAGAAAAGAGGAAAAAGAAAAGAGTTAGTTCTTGTTTAAATATAAACTATATAAAAAATTATTAATACCATTGATAGTAACAGATTATACCAATATTTGTAAATTGTAATTATAAATACATTAATAGTTTGTCAAGTTTGAAAGATAATTAGTGATAAAAATGTTATTTTTTATTTACATTAACAAATGAAAGATTTAAAGAAATTTATTGTAATTTAACATTTTGTTATTGTTATTGTAATTTAACTGAAGATTCATTATGGTCAGGACACAAATGATCAGAGTAGTCAGCTTGACTATATTTAATTGGAAATATCTCTTTTGTAATTTCAATGAATGCAGCATTTTTCTAACTTTGCTTAACAATTCTCCCTCCTTTCTTTTTTACTTGTATATTCACTAAACATAACTGCCACATAAGTTTTATTGAATATATTGCTTAACAATGTTGTTATTATTATACTAAATGATGATGATAATTTATCATTTAGTTATAATAATTTGGATTTGGTTTCTATATGAATGTTGTCATCATCCATTGTACATCTGTTTGCTTTAGGAAACCAAAATACACATCGTTCTAGACTGCATATTTTAATATCAAAAAACACTTACTACAACACTTTGTTATTTATTTAATCTTATTTTCTTGAGAAAGGTCTTTTAATAAGACCGAANCCGATAGGGCAGATGTCTGAAGACGCTCAAGAGTCTACTAATAAATACATTAAAAAGTTTTGAGAAGATTTTGAAAGAAAAGCTCCCGAGTGAAAACAGTGGAAGACATTATTTTACGCCTATTATTAATATTCGATCCGTTTATTTCGAGTTTGTGCGAATTATCTCGAAAAAACTCAGTCGTTGCTTCCAGAAGCAGTTTTATTGTTAGTTGTGCCACGTATACAAGTACAGGAAGCTTCAGTGATTTCAAAGTTGAATCATCTGATTGTGAATCAAATTATTCTTTGGATGATGATGCATGAAGTTTTAATCAACCGATTGTATGTTTTATCGNTTCGATTTACAATGTTTGTTATTTATTTAATCTTATTTTCTTGAGAAAGGTCTTTTAATAAGACTGAAAACGTTTGAAAGTTTTCTAATAAACGTCGACTGCAAGAAAAGGTGTTGTAGTAAGTGTTTTTGAAACCAAAATACTTCATTTGAAACGTTTTTGGCTTCACTTTGGTTATATTCAGCTTATACTGTATGTAAACTAATGTAGAAAAGAATAAAATTGACTATTTTAAAAAGTAAAAAAAATTTCAGAATTTTAGAAAAAAAGAATGTATTAAAAAGTTTCAAAATAAGTATGTTTAGTTTTCTAAAGCCGTTGTTTTTGATTTATTACTACTATGGCTCAAAATTTTGTTTTCATTTATGATAAGTGGTCATGTTTTAGTCAGAATGGTTGCATGTGAAATTAATTATAATAAATTAATTTTTAGAAACCATAATAGCATACAAAATTGGTGGGATAAATACATTTTTNGGAAGCTTCAGCGATTTCAAAGTTGAATCATCTGATTGTGAATCAAATTATTCTTTGGATGATGATGCATGAAGTTTTAATCAACCGATTGTATGTTTTATCGTATTAAACAATATATGATTTATTTTGTACTTTTTCTATAAAAGTGGTTTGTGTTAAATTTTTCATTTTGTTTTTATTTCAAATTTTGACTTCGGATTCGTAATCAGTAATCCCGAAAACCCTCGAATACTGACCTTCAGCCAAATTGATAACGCTTTTGACTTTTGACCAGCTTTTTGGAATTTGGCCCCACTGTGTAACGGAGAAAAGAGACAGATAGGACGTCGGTATAAGTCACAGTTATGATTTCACAGATTCCAGACAGCTTGGTAGCTCAAACGGCCCCAGGCTTTTGCCCGTGCACGCTAAATGACTTTCATTACAAGCATTTAGCTTTCCGAAATCTATGAGAACAGTTATTTAGCATTGAAGGCCGAGAATTTCGTGCCAATAAGCTGCCTTGACTTGTTTGATTATGTTATCAACTCAATTTCATATTTATTTTCACTTCGCAGTCCTTCTCTGTTTTTTTTTCTGTTATTACCTTACACGTGTAGGTAATTTCGTTGTTATCCACATTTGATATTATCATTTATCACATACTGCCATGACACTCTTGTCTGCCCACTACAACTGTCAAGAATTAACGCGATTGGCGAAGCATAGTGACAGCGGGCCAATAGAGAGCGGGGTCCTTGCCATAATGTGGTTTGCGTGCCAATTTTCATATGTGCGTAAATCAAGCCAAATAGTTTGGCCGAATATTTGGCTATTCGGCCACGCTCCTGGCCGAATGTTCAGTATTCGGCCTGAGGCCGAATATACTAATCGTTGCAACACTAATAAATAACTTTTTTGAAACTTATTATGGAGATATTTTGTATTGAAGAGTTATAATAATAATAGAATACTATAATAATTGCACTGTTCAATTATTTATAGTTATTATTCTAAATGTTATAAATGAAAAGTACAGTCGACCCCCCTATAAGATATAGATACGTTCCAATTTATTAGGAATCCGATTTCTTACAAGTCGTTCCAATCACAGCCTGACACGTGTCAAGTTTACGGACTATGGCTGATTGAAAGGTTTTCTTCCATAAAATTAATCGATTCTACACTAATCCNGACATTAGGCTTGCTCTAAAATGAAAGTCAAATAGAGCCAATGAATGAAACATATCCCCTATAAAGATGAGTCTCTTTGAATCTCATCGATATGATAATCATAATTATGCTGAAGGTGCAGCAAGCCTCACGAGGGTTTTGATTCCTCTTCAATCATTTGACAATGATTGAAGAGGAATCAAACCCTCGTGAGGCTTGCTGCACCTTCAGCATGATTATGATTGATTATGAATTTACTCTATTGATTACTCTATCTGATTACTCTATTGATTATGAGGAACAAACTTCAATTTTCAGATGAAAAATAGAAAATGTAAAAAATCTTGACGTTTGTCCACTTTACCAAGGTGAACGTGATCGTTTTACTAAAAGTTATGCATTTACTTTTGATTTTTCCGCTTTGGAGTCACTTAACACAGCATTTCATATGTATCCAGTTAACTTCACCGGATGTTCCAGTTAACCCCCATCTTGGGATTAACTGGGTCATTTGACGTTAATATTTTTTTACACACTATGTATATGCAGACAAAACTGTTTTCCCCTCATTTACGACATATTTTCTTTGCGATATGTTATAGGCTTATAAGAGTTTCCATATCATGCAATTTATTAAAAAGCATTGAAAAAAATTGTACTTAGTGTACCCCTCTCTCGCCTATTAAATTATTTAAAACTTATCAAAATTCGCTTATTTACTCGGAGTACAAAACAGTTCGGCTCTTTATATTTCAATATTAACGCTCGAATAAATTAAAGTTGGTGAATTAGGTCAAAATTTCGAAAAACACTCATAACTGTTACCATGTAAATTTTCAAAACTAAGGAAATAGTCTTACGCAAAATAATTTATTTATTCTGAAATTCTAGTTAATCAGTAAGTCTTTTTGATTCTGAACATTTATGTGATATTCTAGAGTTTTTTCTTTAATCTAATTTCCCGCCATATTATACAAATATAAATGGAATAATTATATTGTTAGTATGTTAATAAAGCATTTTTTTTTTAATTTAAAGTTCTGCTGACTGGCAAGGCAGTGAAGACACTGATTCTGATAGTGATGATGATAACAGTGAACCGTTAACTCGGTCCAGGTCTATAATTCCAAATCGCACAACTTCCCGTAGACCTGTTGGCTCGTCATTAAAAAATTTAAGAACAAGTAAAAACTTAAACAGGTTATCTAGGTCATTTCAAAATAATCGATCAAATAGAAAAAAGAGAAAAATTTCATCATCTATGGATGAAGATTCTGATAGTGACACAGATGCAAAGAGAAATTTGAGGCAGACAAAAAAGAAAATTAGGTATGTATTCAATTAATTGATTTAAATTATTTTTAGAAGAATAATGTGTAATTATTAAAAATTTTTACAAGATCTTATATGTAGAATTACAAAATAATTAGTAAAATTCAATTTTATTATATTGAATTTCTATTTAAAAAGAAAATGTACTTAATCAAGTATGTTATAGAAGATTTTTAATTTATATGTAAAAATTGAATTTTCAGAAAAGAACATTTTTAAATCAGTTTGGTAGAACCAAATTGTTTCTATTAAAAATTTCATTTAAGAGTATTGTTTAAAAATTATGATGATAATTTGAAAAGTTATTGTCAATTATTGTGTGATGGTTTATTAATTAACAAAATTTTTAAAATAAACAATCAATTACCCCTAATATTAACATTTCCTGGTGCAAAAAATATGGCTAAATGAAAACTTTTGGTTTTTATTATTATTAATTTTAATTTTTGTTACAGGAAATGCAAACATGCATCTTGTTAGTTATCACTTGTTTCCTTAACTGAACTTGCAAAATTCATTCTGATATTATAATTTGAAATTAATATTAATTAATGTTGTTACCAATAAAATTAGAAGTAATCCATGAGGTTTTATTGTTTAAATGAATATCATGCATTTGTTTTTAAATAAATAAAATTGTATTATATAACTCAGTGTGCTTATGAAATGGTAGTAAAAGTTTTATTTANTGTTTGTTTGTGCAATTTTGGGAAAAACATAACATCAGGGATAGCATAGGCAATATAGATTTTAATGGCAAGAATTAACTGATAAGTGAACAAAGTGTGGAAGAAGTTATGGCTAAAGGTATCTAAGAATTCTCAACAAGAAGAGCCTATCGCTGTATTGTTAGGTTGACCAAATTGTCAACCTAATCAGTACAGCAGGACTAGATGTAGATGAGCAGGATATTGAAGAATTACTGCAGGTTTCTGGTGAGAGCCTTACCAACGACAATCTTCAAGAACTGGCAGAACAAGGAATTCATGTAGAACTGAAAAATAGAGATTCTGAAAATGAAGAACCCAAAGAATTTCTCTACAGATTTCCTTAGTAAAAATTTGATAACAATAACTGAAATCATTGATCAAACTGTAGCGTATGATCCAGATTTTGAAAAGAGTGCCAAAGCAAGATGAGTTGTTTTGGATACAATTTCTTACTACTGACATTTGCTTAAGGAAAGAAAAAAAGCAACAAATGAAACTTTACGACTTTATCACAAAAAAACAAGAATTTCAGAAGAGCCAGGACCTTAGTCACAAAAAATGAACTTTACATTTCTGTGTGCATATGTTTGTGTTATTTAACATATATTATTATGCTTTTTGGTTTCGCATGTTTCTCTTTCCCAATTTACTCTGTGTTAAAGTGACCTCATTTAATGCAGTTTCGTTTAGTGCAATGGTTCTCAACCGGGGGTACATGTACCCCTAGGGGTACGAGCGTAAATCGAAGGGGTACATCTAACTTTCATTATAAAATGGCGTATGTTAATCAATTTGCTGTAAATTATTAACACAAGAAACAACAAAAACTTGCTTTAAAATATCCCAGTGTGAACACCAATTACCCTTTTAACAGTCTAAACAACTTGTTTGCCCATTTGATTTGCCTGTCTATTTGTGCCGTTAGTGCTGAGTGAACCTGTAGTGTAGTAAAATTACGGTTTAACCGAGCGTTAATTTTAGGATAAAAAAAAAAATATTTTTTCTGTTCTATAATTATACTTTTCATTTCCTTTCCTATCTCACTTCACTTTTTCCCTTCGCCTCTTCCCTTAATTACCTTTTCTCTACTCTTCTTCGTACTCGCGCAATACCAATAAGTAGTCCCGAGTCTTCATCCCCTTTATGCTAAATATTCTATAATTATTGCTCGATAAGATTGGGGCTTTTCGTGTTTTTACTGGACTACTGGTATTAGGAATAACAAGGCCTGGATCGTATTCCCACCATGAAATACATGTCACTGCATGCGCGCATTACTTGATATTTAGCAAATTTAGACGTTACATTTGTTACAAAAATTGAAAGATTCATGTATTGTTCTGCATGTTATAAACTCACAGCCATTACTTTCAAGGTCAGTACACAATTATAATCTCTATTTAACAACGTGGGAACCAAATTTTGAAAAAATTGCNTTTATAATCAACATTAAAAATCAGATTTCTTATATGATGATAATTATTTATAAACAGATATCCAAGTTATAAATTGAACTGAATTATAAGTATTGGATTTAGCATAATATGAAAAATTTTTAATATTTAACATAAATAATAATTATATTTATATATAAAATAAACTGATTGATTTTTTATTATTATATTATTTCGTTTCTTTATAATCACTAGTACTATTAAAATTTGAAATTGAAAAACTTATAATTTGTTATTTGTGTATTATTACTTAAATGTAATAATATGAAAAAGACAAATTTAATCATTTTTTAAATTTTATTTAGCATTAGAATTCTTAACTTTGTAAGATTTCTGATATTCAAAATGTTTATTGTTAACAAAATGATACAGTTGAAATATTAACTATTCTCTAAATTTTTATTCTCTGATAAAAAGAGAAATGAAACAAATAAAGTGTCCTTATTTGATAATAGAACTTGCTTTAATTTTACAGTAAATTATGTATTATCTGTAATTGATAACAATTATGTCATATTTATATTATTTATTAATTTATTTCAATCTACAGCTCTCCCTCGATAGTCCGTTTTTTAATCCGACATACTCAGTAGTCCGACACACCTCCCGTCAAGGTACCCGTCCCCGTTACATGTCTGCTTGCACAGAAGCATGTCATGATGTGAATCTCCCCATTTAATTCTTACACAATGACACATATTTTGTGTGTTTTCTGTGAGCAGTTCCGTTCGAACAGTTGGAGTAGAGAATATTGTAAGCCACTGCTAGCAAAACAATGCAAAATATGCAATTATTTTTGGT